CAACCTCCACACCAGAGGAACATGGATACAAGGGGCAAAAACCGCCACTCCTCAGCCCCGACCGACCCACCTCAGACAACGCGAGAAACCACGGACGCACCCAACCACCAACCACATGCCACTACCTAGCACAACGAAGCAAAACTAGAGTCCACAACCACGGCTGCGACTGACGACTAGACCACAACAAAAACCGATTGTTGGGCGACCACCTTCCTCCATCGACGCAAGCAGACTGAGATAGCACAAAATTGGGGCGTGGCTAAGGGTCATCCTCCGACAAAGAGGCCGACAATCCGTTGGGGAAGGCACGCAGAGGGATAAACGTGACTACTTTTAAAAAGAGGGGAAAAGGAGATTAGGGCACACGACTTGTCCACATTACACTAATTTTTTTTGTGTGTGTGAAACCATTATTTATATGTACTTGAATATAAGATTTGAATAGAATTAAATAAGTGACTTCTAGAGTGTGAGACTAAACAACTCTAATAGGAGAGATTAACTTCAAATACCAAACAAAACAAAGTCATTCAAAAATTCGTTTGCTTATTGTTGGGGCGTTGAAACGTCTAGTTTCAAGGATAATATCACTAGGAAGGTGAGAGTTAGTATGCTTGAAGTTGCACAAGCAGTTGTAAAGTTCTTAATAAAATCATCAATTTTATAACTCACAATTCGATCTTTCAATAAAAATATCGAGCCCAAAACATAAATTGAGCCAATGTAAGCTATGCCATATCGTCCACAATCTATATATAGTCAAAATATGATAATTTATAGATTCAAGATTCTATGAACCTAGATGAAAAGTCTCACGTTATGTATGTATAGTAGTTTTCAACCAAACTTAGAAGCCAATCAACATTTACATTGTATTAGAGCTAACTGTTGACTTCATAGCAAAACAGTACACTATAGACCAGAGAGTGTTCGAGAGTTTCATTATATTTCGTAGTTAGTCATTTGATTTTAGTCGTGTTAGTGCATCGATTGGGATTCTTAAAATGCAAGGAAAGATTTCAAACTACAAGTAGAAATAGAGAGGACAAAACTAACTATAAATAGTACTATATTTTTTTAGTTTACCAACAACCATAACAATCTCTTTTTATGTCTTTTTAAAACGTGACGAATGATTGAATGATTTATTGACCATTGGAATGAATTTCTTCAAAGAAGGGGCAGTTGCTCGGACATCAATTTCTTCCTTATTTTGTGTCCACATGATGCAATTTTTCATCAAATAATGATAATGATGATGTCTTTTTGCCAGCTAGGAAGTCGGTAAGATAAGACTTTTATATATAAAATAGTAATTGATGGCGATATGACCTGGCCTCGCCCAACCGGGCCTGATGGGACAAGATAGACTTGACCCGTGATTAGCTAAATGGGCCAAGCCCAGGTAATAGATCCCATCATGCCTAATTTGGTCTGGCCTGTACATATGAAATACAACATATCCAATCCATCATATATATATATAGGTCCCGTTTGGAAGATAGCAGATTGAGGATAAATTAACGGATTAAACTTAATTGAGAAGTTTGACCCATTAAATCCGCTATTGAGCTTGTTTGGTAAATATCTTATTTGATAAGCTTTTTAGGCCCAAAACTCTAATTTAGAAAAAGCTCATTAGAGGAGCTTTTTGGGGATAGAGGATTCACAATCTACAATTTTAATTTAGAACGTTTTAATTTGTATTGTTTATTTTACAATCTATATTGGTTTATGATGCTAACAAATAATAATATGTCATCCATATGATTAATTTATTTAGAAAAATGTAAAATTCATAACTTTTTAATCAAGTGTTAGTAAATTTTTTTTAAAAAAAATATTTATAAATTACCAACTAAAAAATATTAAATGTTTCAATATATTATTATTAAAAGAATACATCCTAAATAATAAAACGTACTTATTGGTAATTTGCAATGTCAAACAGCTATAAGCTTTCAGCTATTTACCAAACACTTATTTAAAAACCGCTAATGCTATCCGCTAGCAAATCAGCTAATATAATCCGCTATCCGCTACCCGTTAATACAATCTGCTATCCGCTGATCGCCAAACAAGACCATAATTCATTATAATTATCTCATTAAAATGAAATTGAGGACAAAAGGGCATTTCCCACTATTAAAATGTGCAAATTTTTATTTATTTGCACATTTATTAATTTTTTACTTTTCATTACAAATATATTAACTTTCATAATTTTTGAATGATTTATTTGTGATTTATTTTGTTCATTGGTGTCTATATTATTTGTGTATGACTTCTCCATTTGAATGTCTTATCTCTGTTAACATTAGAAAGAGGAAATTGCACCCGTACCCACCAATCTAAAATATATTATAATTATACATTCATTACATAAATATTTATACAATTACCTAACTAAGCCTAAAATATTGCTAATATACCCAAGAGTAACAGTTTAAACTTTATTAGATAATTAAAGGAAAGTTACACAATTTATGGACATTTTTAATACACAATATCTCTTCTGCAACAAAAAAGATCCTCATGAAGAAAACGCGCATCTAAATCTGTTTTCTAACCAAACCCATAATCCGTACAGCAACTCCATGAAGCAAGACAAGTTCTTCTTGTCCTCAGCCAATATCCGCTCATCTTTGAATAGTAGTAGTGGCAATGATAAGGGCTTTAGATACAATCCTTTCTTTGAAGTGCAAGATTATTAATTAAACACAAACAATCGCCTTCAACTACCGAGTACGTCCCCTTCAACGCCGTCCTCCACCGAGTCCTACTCCCTCGACAAGATCGTCTACCGAGCCATTCCCGCGGTAGTCATCTACATGTAGGCGATGCGAGAATCGGTTTATATGGAGTCGACGAGAGAGAAGATGAATATATTCCGAAGCATGATTTCTTCAATTGCCGCCAACGACGGCGTACTCTAAAGAGGGTTTCGGCGTCGCCACAATCGGGGGGAGATGATTAGTTGGTTGCAGGGAATTTGAATTTTGCTTTGATTTTTTTAGGGTTTTGGATTGTGTGTAGATTAGTCATTACGTTGAAATTCGTAGACATTTGATTAGAGTATATGTACAGTATATGTTTGGTATATGCGTTACCTTTTGTTTTTTTTTATGTTACGTCTGGTATATACGATACCTTTTTGTTGTCGTTTTTTTATTATCCAATGGTTTATTTCTGCTATATGTTTGGTATATGCGATACTTTTTTGTTGTAGTTTTTTTATGTTACGTCTGGTAGATTTGTTTTAGTCATTTCTATCTTAAACCAAACAATATATTGT